ATAAAATATTTTAACGCAGTTAACGCACGTCGTCTTATATTTCATAGTTGACTGTTGACAACATACATATGGACATTGGACATATCTATGGTTGACAAATATGATGCAGGGCAACTCCATAAATGCAGTTATGGCTAAAAATTCAAGATATTGGGGCAAAAAAGCTCCTGTATGAGTTTTTGTCTCGTATCACATGGTAAGCGATATCATACAAGCAATGACAGCAATATCACACGAGTGCAAATGTGATTTTATACAACAGTTCAGTAAATCATAAAAACATTTATCGCCAACAATTGAAGACTGTTGGTAACAACGCTGTTTTGGCTACCAGTGACATTCATTGGATGAACAAAAAATACTGAGATGTTTCTCAAATGATCTTCTCTTTTCTTTTTTTGTTCCATACATGATGTTAGGCCGTCGTAGCCTAAACGTTTGTGTAATACATTTTATGTTGAATCAAATATTTATTTCTAATGCTACTTTGTCTTTTAACACAATAATAGCTTTAAATAATCTTTTGTGGGTATTTTCACAGCCAAATTTAGTTTGTGATTAGATTAATTAATCGCCGCACTATGCATGTAATTAATTAGATTAAAAATGTTAATCGACTGACAGCCCTAAATAAAATGTTTACAAATAAAGGTACAAATAAGGCATGTATCTTTCTTAGTTTTCAAATATACAAATTATTATTATTATTTTTTGAGATATTATTGAACTTGTCTTTAAAATACAAAACATATATGTATAAACGTACAATAAACATAAATGTCAGTGTTCCCCTATATAAAGGCCTATAAAACATGATGTGTGATCATCATGAAACTGAAGAAGATCAGCGTTTATCAGACACATGGCGAATGTACGGTGGCCGAGAAGTGCAAAACAAATCACAATTCTGAAAACAAAATAACAAATTACAAACGCAAATGCAAGTCTAAAAAACAAAATAACAATTCAGGAAGCACAACAACAATTCAGAAAACATTATAACAAGTCAGAAAACACAACGACAAATCAGACAAACCGGAAAAGGTAGGTATAGTTTGAGACAGCGCTATTGGTGTATGAGTTGCCCTTACTATGGAATAAAAAATACGGGGTGTCTATTTACATTTAGTTAAAAGTGCCTGTAAAACATCAGCTCCAGTGGCGCAGATGGATAAGCGTGTGCCGTTGGCTTTTCGACCCGAGTTTGATCCCGCCTTTTGCCAAACTTTTTTCCCCTCCCTTTTCAAATCTCGTATCACATCGTAAAGGCATTTATTTTCAATAAAAATTAAGGAAATAATCAAAAAGTTGAAAATAAAGTATCGGGTAGGGTTAGGGTAGGTGTAGGGAGGGCTTTATTGTACCAATAAGGTGGCATCCATTTAATAATTAAAATTAAAAT